CTGCCTATTTCTGTAAGCCCTTATGTCACTTGGAAAGCTGTTATAAATTCAGCTGGAAAAAGGGACCCTTATTCTGGGATAAGTGTGGTTAGTGGTTAACTGGGAACGGGGCTATTCCTGGCCTTGCCATCGGCCTTGCCGGTGACGCCGGGGTAAGTCACTTCACCTCAGCGTGTGTCACCTTCTCCTGCTGCAAACGGGGAATTACAAACACGGCCTTTCGCAGGCAGCGTTTTGGGAAGCCCATAACTCTGGAAAAAAGGTGTCACAGGGTGCCAGGCAGTCATTTAGCGGGACCTGGTGCTTTTTTACCCACCTTGGAGGCATCTGGATCAAGCTGTAGGCTGGGGAAATGAGGGACGAGCGCTGGGGACCGGCTGAGCCGCGTGAGCCTGGGCTGTTGGCGTGTTACTGGGAATGCTGTGTTTTCCTCTCGGCTTTTAAAAATAGTCTATTCTGTTCCAAGTTGTAGACCACAGCCCTCGCTGGGGCATTGAAATGTCTGGGCTGCTGTTTTCTCGAGCCAGCACCTTCCAGTGTTCAGGGTGGGGATGCAGTGCCAGCATCCATCCCCCCAGCTGCTGGGTCCAGCAGAGATGAGGGGGTTCTGCCCTGGGCTGGCATCATTCTGGTTCTCATGGACAGGAGGGAAAGGCAAATCTGCTTCACTCTTCTGCCTGCAGCATCCCTGCCTGGCTCAATAGCTGCTTCTGCAAGCCCTGAGGGCCTCGGGGACTTTTGCTTCTCAGCAGCTTCTTGTGCAGCCTCAGAAGCTGCTTTTGGCTCGGCATCACACAAGCACACGCAGCTGAAGATGCCGCTCGTTCCTAGCACATGGCACTAAATCCGTGCTAGAGGTGGGGAGGATCCTCTCGCAGGCTTTTATCACTTGCACAGACAGTGCAGGCTGGCTCACAGCCAGGGCCCCTCTGCGCGCCAGAGCGGGCGCTGCCCACGGAGCAGCAGGACCGAGGTGCCGATGCCCGGAGGTGCCCGCGGAGCTGCCCCGGCGCGTTCCCACGGCCCCGTCCCTGCGCAGGCACCGGAGAGGGGCTCAGCGCCGCTGGAATTGGGCCGGAGCCAAGGAGGCAGAGGGGAAAGAGCCTTTTACAGCCCATTAGTGCTCCCCAGAGCCGGTCAGCCCCTCTCGCCGTAAAAGCGGTGGAAGCCACAGAACCATTACGGCTGCTCTGCAGAAGATGCTGGTCTGCAGAAGATGCCAGCCCAGCTCCCGGCTCCGCGTCCCTTCCCAGGGGCTTGGCCAAAGCCGCTGGCCCTCAGGGCAGCTGGGCTGCTGGGATTCCCTCTGGGAACAAGCTGGTTCCTTGTCCATCCAGTTGGGCTGCTGGGATTCCCTCTGGGAACAAGCTGGTTCTTTGTCCATCCAGCTGGGCTGCTGGAATTCCCTCTGGGAACAAGCTGGTTCCTTGTCCATCCAGCTGGGCTGCTGGAATTCCCTTTGGGAACAAGCTGGTTCCCTGTCCATCCAGTTGGGCTGCTGGAATTCCCTCTGGGAACAAGCTGGTTCCCTGTCCATCCCGAGCTCCCCCCAGGCAAAATGTGCATGGGAGGGTTCCGAGCGCAAATGTGTGTGTGCGCTAATGGGAACTGAATTGCCTCTTGCCCCGCAGCCTTGCAGCTTGAGGAAAACAAGGCAGGGGCTAGGAATGACCTCATATCGCCTCCCAGGGAATGTTTTGCCAGATGAAGGGGGGAGAGGCAGCATCAAGACAGCACAATGTATGTATCTCTCTCCCTGTGTAAACATCTCTGTAGCTGCAGAAACCTCTTAAAACCCCGAATGAGAGGAGAACAGCTGCTTTGATCTGTGGATGTGGTTGTTGTTTTCTGAGCGCAGATCCGTTCTTTTTTTAATTTTGCTTCAAATTAAAAAAATGCCTGTTGTGATCTTTTGCTTTTATTTCTTGGCGAGGGAGCGGAGAGTGGTGCAGTAAATTTTCATGACTCCCCATGTAACCGTTTCAGCATGGCTGACAATTCCTCGCCGGCTCTTCAGCGCCGCAGCACAATGGGCCGAATCTTCTGGCCCTACATGAAGCCAAAGCAAATGGATTTTGCCCAGAAGTGCACAACGGGGAGTGGAGGCAGCGGGGGGGAGAGTGCTGCCACCTCCTTCCCCACCACACACACACACACACACACACACACAAGGCTCGGGCTGGCGATGCCTGTGAAGGGTTTGGAATCAGCTCCTGGGCACGGATCCGTGCCAGCCCCGTGGGCCAAAGCGCTGGGCTGCCCTGCAGGTGATGTCAGTGTGACCCTTGGCACTCCCTGGGTGATGTCAGGAATCCCCATCTGCCCAACTTTCCCCTGTGCTTGGAGGGGCACCAAAGCACGCACAGCCCTGGCACCACCTCTGCCCCTTGGGCCACTCTGCCGGGCAGCATCAATTGCTGGACTCAGCGATGCTTTGGGAAGATGACACAGCTTTTCTGGGAATTCCTGGACATCAGCAGTTCACTCCAACCCCACTGCTTCGCTGTGGTGCTTCATAACCCCGTTGGAGGAGCGAGACATGGGGGTCAGCCCCTTGGCTCCTGTGCTGCGACCCCCCTCCCAGCAAGGCGCTGGTTTAACTGGGAGCGCTTGGCCAGAGTTGTGTCCCCAGTGAGGCAGTCTGGGCACGAGTGAGGGGTTTGAGGAGTTGGTTCATTTCCCCCGCGCTCTCACGTGGCTGCTCGGTGTTTTGGCGTTTTAATTACACACGGCCCTGTGTATTTAGGGCTGGTTTATGGGTGTTTATACTAATGCGTAAACCTGCAATTTAGAAGCTCAGTTATAAATCAACATTGCTGAAGGTCTTGTCCCTCGTGCCGTGAGATCGGTCTCCAGATTTAGAAGATAGGTTAGAGGGGAAACAAGGAGGACTGTTTAGTTTTCCTCTGGTTATGATGATAAAGGATCACAGGACGGGGTGCGAGGTGCGGTGGCCGGGCACAGAGATCTGCCAGCGTAACCCAGAGCAGAGTTTCCATTTTAACTCTGCTCTTAGGAGTCTCTGCCATAAGAGGCTTGTGTTTCTGCAGCAAATTCCAGCCCAGAAAGAAAAGCAGTGGCACAGCTGCTGATGTGATACTCACAGGAGGGTGGTGGCACCCCACTGGTGATGCCTTCAGATCAGGATGTGAAGATGCCCAGCGCCCTGTCCCACCTCAGGGGAGGGGCTCTTGTGCCCAGGAGCTGCTGGCACAGACTGGAGCTGGCTTCCCCCAGCATCAGTGCCCAGTGGGATGGCACATGCCCACTGGAGGGGCATGGTCCTCTCCCAGCACAGCCTAGGGACAACACCTCCACATTCATATTTTTATGTACAACATTTTTTTACAGCTTTAAGGATCATTTGTGCACCTCTGCCCCTTACCAGCTGCCGTGGAGCCTGGCTGTGCCAGGGACGGGTTTGGGTTACTGTTGTGCTCCTGCAAGCCCCCTGCCCAAAGGGAAGGTCCCTGTGCTGTGAGGGCAGCCCAGGGAGGGGGTGACTTTGTAGGGAAAGACCCAGGGACCCTCAGCATCCTCCTGTCCAACTGCAGTCCCTCCTCCGTGCTGTGGGTGCTTGGCTTAGCTGGACATTTCCCACTGCCTCCAGCCCCCTTTGTCGTATCTTTAGGGGATATTAGGACAAAAGGGGTGTTGGGGAGGGTGTAGGGGCAGCACAGTGGGCTGGGAGGAAACCCAAAGGCACAATGACCACTGGGGCTGTCAGACCCCTGTCCCCGGACAGGTGGAATCACTGCACACCTTCCTCCCCATCCCACCCCTGGCTCCTGGCTCCAGCCTTCATCTCCCGCTGCAGTTTCCTGGCTGGCAGTGCCTCTCCTGGCTCAGGGAGCAGGAACACCCAGAAGGGAGATGGTGCCAGCAGCTCCCACGGCCATGGGGTGGGGCAGGGGTCCCCCTCCTCCCTGGGGTGCCCCAGCTCCAGGGGCCGGGCTGTGAGAAGGTCCCGCAAGCAAACAAAAAACCCCTGAACATTTCAGAAAGGTCTTTTTCTTCCCCCTCCACCCTTATTCCCAGTCCTCCTCCCACCTCCCAGGGCAGCCAGCAGAGCTGCTCTCCGGCCCTGTTTCCCCCTGCCCAGCACCCCGAGACTCTCCAAAAGCCACCAAGCCCAGCCGGGTCGTGCCATCTGCAAACTCTCAGGGTTTTTAATTATATCTATTTTTTTTTTTCCCCTTGTCCTTTTCTTTCCCACCCCTCGCCTTTTCCCATGGCAGACGCCTCCCCCTGGCCCCCCTCCCCTTGCCACCACGCCAAGCCCCGGGCTGGCCGAGGGGCTGCGAGGTGCGGGCTGGGTCTGGGGGTTGCGGGGGGCTTTGCATTGATGCATTGATCGCCCATGGTCTCCGCCTGACCTCCCTGCTCCCAGGGAAGCAGTCTCCATGGCTACTGGCCCTTCTCCTCCAGCGCAGACTGTAAATTCCTGCAGGCAAAGCCCAGCCTTGGGGGTGCGAGGGGGGGAGCCGTGAAGGAGTAACCAAAGCCAAATAGAAAGAAAGAAAGAAAGGCTGGGAGAGAGAAAAAGGGCGTTGCTTGGATGGGGCTCTCCTTTCCACTCCCCTTTCCCAGGTCCCCAGCACCAGGGCAAGGCGCCTGCTTCCCCCCTCCAGCACTGCTGCTGCTGCTGCTCCTGCTGCTGCTGCTGCTCTTGCAAAACTGGAATTGGCTGGGATTATTTAAGGGAAAAAAAAAAGAAGGAGAAGGGATCAGAGCAGCCGCCAGAGAGAGGGCGATAGAGTCCACTTTCCTCCAACTGCCCTGGGTCTCCCTCCCTCGCTCTCTCCTCTTCAGCAGCACCAAGAGCCCCAAACTGAACCCAGAGCAGCTTTTTCCACCAGTTCAGCTCCCTTCCCTCCCTCTGTCTCACACACGGCAAGGAGAGAGCCCCTTCCTCCCTTTGATTTCCCTTCGCATGCTCAGCCCCTTGTTTCCCTTAAAGCACTAGAAATCCCCCTTCTTGCCCCCGCTCCTCCCTGCAGACTGGGATTGCCATGGGAGCTTTGCAGATTGCTGGATTTTCCATCCTTTTCTTTCTCCTCCACTCTGGAAGCACGCTGGCGAATAAAGCCAGTCAAGGTAAGAGAAAATCTTCCCTGCTCGAAGGTTTGCTGTTTGATGTGTGGATTGGGCAGCCGGATCTCCTCGTTAGAGCTGGGGTTTGTGTGCAGCCTGGAGAAGGCAGCAGCAGCAACAACAAACAGTGGAGGGGATTTTAAATGTCGCTTGCAGATATTCTCGCCTACTGCCTTGGAACTGGGCTTGGGTTTGCGAACTCTTTAATGAGTTGCGTTCCTTAGACTTTACTTCTTTTGGGTTTGGACTCTTTTATCTCAAGGCAGGGGGTGCAGGGGCAGAAAATTAGGGTGGGCGAGCAAGTCTGCATCCATCGCAGGCGAAATGTGGCTGTTTGGGGAGGCTTGGGGGGCTCTGCTGGTTTTGTGTCTGGGAGATGGGGCAGCAGGGTGGGCTGGGCTGGAGGGCAGGGGTGGCAGAGCCCGGGGGCTGCGTCTGTGCTCGGGGACTGCACATGGGGCACGGGGGAACCTCAGATGCTGGGCAGCAGGAAAGTTCAGGTAGCTGAGCGCAGCTAAGCCTGAAAATGAAGGGAGCTCTTTCCCTATCTCGTGGAAGGAGAGCTATGTCCCATCCTTATCAACTTCGGGCTTTTCTGTTTCACAGCTCCCGTACTGAGGCAGAGCCTCCCCTTCCCAGACGTACACACGGAGCTTTATGTATGCTCTATCTATACCTTCCCTTTTCTATAGCACCTCTATATTTAGCTCGGATTTTTTCTATAGACGCGCGGGAGCGCGCGGAGCACACACAGCCCTATACATGGTCCCGTTGGCTGCCTCAAAGGGGGTTTTCTCCTTCATTCACCACTATCTGGACAATCTGCCGGGGTTTTTTTCTCTTTTTCTTTGCACGGCATGCGAGGTTTCTGTGGCTGTGGCAGCTGCGGCGTTTGTGCGGACGGTGAGATTAAGCAGCGTGTGAATGAAATCTCGGAGCGCAGGCTATAACGAAAGATCTCTTGTAGGAGGATTCCAGCCACGCGCATGGTCGCCCCAGCCCTGTCACCGACAAAGTTAGAAGGAATTTCAAGGCTATTGTCTTATCTGGCTCAAAGTGTTTCTAAAACAATGGGCGACTTCTCCGGAGGGCAGCCTGGGCAAGCAGGAGAGATTTTTCCAGGGCAAAGGTTTGGTGAGAAGGCGTCCAGCTTCACATAAAGCTTTATGATTTAGGCACAGAAAGGAATGCTTAGGTTTTTATCCCCCCTCAAATTATCTTGAGTGTACGCATTGCTTTCATTTCTTATCATAATATTTATTTATTAAGGCCTTTTGGTTTCCAGTTCCATTTAAGCCCGAGCCAGAATTGCATTAAAATAGCAAAGTGAAATTCCATCGTGCAGAGACTTGACAGATCCCTTCAGGGAAGGAGAGGGGTGGAGTGGGGGTGGAGAGAGGTGAGCTCAGTGCTGAGCTGGGGTTCGTTGCCTGGGACAGTGCTGGCTCTTCCAGGGGGGCTCTGCTGGGGAATTGGTCCTGGGGCTGCAGTTTGGGGGCTCTGTGGGCTGGGCAGGGGGAGCTGTCTGCACAGAGGCAAAGGTTGGTGTGTGCGGGGCTGCGAGGACTCTGGGCAGGGCTGGGCCTGGAGCTGGTGGTCCCTTTTGGGTGAGGCTGAACTCATGGGCATCACTGATGGCAGGTACAACATGTGCCTTCCCTCAGATCCTGCTGTCTCCTGCGTTTTCTGACTGTCACTGAGCTCCTTGAACCCGCTCTGTGTGTCTGGGACATGTGTTAGCAGGATATTTCTCAAAAGCATCAGGTGTGCGTGGCAGGTGACACCCCAAGGATGGGGCACACGTCGCCCCAAAACTTTTGTCCTTTTGAGGCACAGCCACCCTTGCCAGGTGACTGTCACAGGCTGGGAAGGGCTCCTCTCCCGTCTGTCTTCTCTTGGTGGGATAACATTGTGTCATGGGTCGGGCTCACTGGCTCGTTCCTTGTACTGAATTACCCCACAAAGTTTAGTCTGTGGGGAACGAAGGATTTAGAGAGCTGGCCGCTGGGCCTGCAGGGTGTCTGCCAGTGGACCTGGCTGGCTCTGGAGTCAGCTTAGGGCTAGGGAAGCTTTCAAGAGGAGAGCTGGCAACATAAATCTAAATAACCATAGGGAGGCTCCTGACGCACACTCACATCTGTGCTCCACAGGCCAGGCTGCCCACGTGCTGCTGTGCCCAGCACTCCTCTGGGTTTTGGGTAGATAATGTCCCTGCCAGTCCCAGCCTCTTGCCTGTCAGTCCATCTCAGCCTTCCAGACAGGAGGGCTTGTCCTGAGCTCCTGCTCTCAGTGGAGCAGTGCCTTACCTGCTGCCTGCCAGCATCCGTCCCTCCCTGCACGCTGGCAGGACAGACGGACACGCTCCCAGGGACTGGCAGCTCTGTGCCCTCCTCGGGCAGTGCCAGTTCCCTCATCTCTGGGAACACATCCCAGCATTTGCCACTTTCCCCTGCGGCTGATTGCACATCCCCTCAGATGATGCTGTGCCGTGTGCCTCTCCAGCAGGGAGAGGCAGCGTCTCCCTGGGGATCCCAGCACCCCGTTGGCACTCCCAGCAGCCCAGTTCAGGGTCCTGGGTGGGGTGGCAGCCTCAGCCCAGCCCATGGGCCCTGGGTGGTTGATGGTTGACTCCAGCCCTCCTGGCCCCTGTCCCACGTGAGGGACTGCTGCGCTGCGATGCACCTGCAAACCCTACGCACCGCCGCGGATTATTTTTCTGTGTTTTTTTCAAGGAGCCTTGAAATTTTCCAATTGCAGCGTGGAGATGCTGTTTGGTTCCCCTCCCGTTGCAGGCAAACCTCCTCCCCCTTGGCCTCTGCCTTCCTACCTCTCCAACATTCACAGTGTGTGACTGTTGTGCCTGTCCCCTCCACCCCGCTGAAATATGAAATGTAAAACTGTAAACATTTCACATGCACAGTTCAAAGGAGATCTTTGACTGAGGACCTCTAACATGCCTGTACCGAGATTAAAAAAGGGGAGGGGGTGGGTAGGAAGGAGGGAAGAAGAGTTTTTTTGTAACTGCCAACTGGAGTATAAATATCCAGACACCTTGAGTCTTCCAGTGCCGATGTATTGCTCTCTCCAAACTGCTCAGGAGTTTGGGGGTTCTTGTCTTTTATTTTTATATAGATTTTTTTTTTCCTGCACAGACAGCCACACCAGAGTACTCAGTTTAGGAAAACAGTATGCATGATTGACCTTAGCCTTCACTTTCAAAATTCTAAGTCCCCCGAGAGGCTTTAGGAGAAGCCCGGGATGGCAGATAAAGTTTGCTCTGTCTGGCAGCCCTGGAGGATGCCTGGCTGTGTTTTGGAGAGGCTGTGTCCCCGCTGGAGATCTTGAGATTGTTGCTCCCGGAGCAAAAAACAAACACATTTCTCAAGGCAAGGCCGGGCCAGTCCAATAAGCCAAAGGAACAACAGCAGCAGTGACAATTCCACGGGGACACGAGCAGGCTGCTGGTGTGGGGCACCAAACCCTCTGTGGGGTTTGATGGAATTGGGCTGAAGTGACCAGGGCTGGCACAAGGAGGTGGATGGAGGTGGAGGGAGCATTTCCTACCCAGGGAATGGTGGGGAATCCATCAGGATGACCTGGGCTGCTGCAGGGGATGGACAGCTCAGCACTCTGCCCTCAGGGGAGTGGGAAGCATAAGTGAGGGGGATAAAAAAGCCCTTTTCTGGGTCATTAACAGCTTTGGGGAAGCACAACCCACGGTGAGGGTTATAGGGCAGGGTCTGGGCATTGGACAGGAGGGTCCCAGGCTGGGAATGGCCCCAGGTCCTCTCTCTGACTTGTGGTTCCTCCTCCTCCTGTACTCCATCATTGCACAGGGCCGAGTGCTGGGGCTGCACCTCCTGTGTCCCACCTGCTTTTGGGAAAGCTGGGTGGATGTGCAGGGCACGGGGCTGGTTTGGGGGTCTCCACTGCACGGTGAGATGCAGACACCCCCTCTGAGCCATCCTGAGCACAGGTACCTGCCCAGGGCCCACTGGCACCCCCGTCCTGGCAGCAGGGCATCCCCCAGCACCTGAGCCAGCATCTCTGAGTGCAGGTGATAATTCTTTAGCCAGTTTACAGAAAGCTGCCCTGCAGAGCATCCTGCTCCCCTCTCCTGGCCCAAATCCCCTCCCAGGAGCTGCCACTGCCCGTGGCCATGCCCCGAGCCTGTGGTGCAGCACGAGTCACCCCTGCAGGCTCCCTGGACGAACAAATGATTAATAAACTGCACCACAGTGTCTGAGGTGGTTATTAATACCCTGGTAAAAGGAGCTACTGAAGTTATAAAGCTTTAATTTGGCATTAAGGCCGAGTGGAAACTCCGCATGTCTGCCAACAGCTACACACACATCCCCATACAGACAGGCTGTTAATATATATGCCTATATAAAAACAAAGAATAAAATTAATTTGTAGAAAAAGCTGAAGCACTTGCAGGAGAGGGGAAAAAGGACGGTGGGTTTGTTTGTTCAGGATTTTTCAGGCCAGATTTTGCTGTCCTGTCTCACCCCCCTCCTCAAATTTATTAGGACTTTTGGCCTAGGGCTAAAACCATCTTTTATTATTATTATTTTTTTTTTTTTAAACAAAATAAGGAAGTGAGGAAAGAGCCTCAATCCAGGCCCTAAAAACATCCGAGCTGTGCAGGGCACAGGGGGCTGTGCCATGGCTCCCCTGGGTCAGAGCCCCTGGGGGTCCCGGGGAGGTGGCGGTGCCCCCGCTTTTGGCACGCCCGAAATGGCAGTGGCGTTGGAGCCGTCTGCCTGCGCTGCCTTTGAAATGGAGAATAAAGCTGCAGCTGGAGCGGAACGGGGCCCAACAGCCAGCGCTGGAAAATCCCACCCACAACGGAATAAAAAGCGCGGCCCGAGGCGCGGGGCGAGCGCCGCAACCTCCTGCCCTTGGCGCAGCCCGGGCTGGCAGTGCCAGGGGTGCTGCGCCCTCCGAGCAGCCCTGCCCGGCCCCAGCGAGATGGGGCTGTGATCCCCAGCCACACTCAGCATCTCCATCCCAACCAAATTCCATCCCGGGTGCAGAATTCCCCATGCCGGGCGTTTGGGGCATGGTGTGCCCATCTGCGCTGCCCGGTTTGGGCTCATTTCAGGCGGTTTAGGGTGAAAATCATGCCAAAATTTTGGTTGTTTGTGGAAGGGAGAAATGGAGGGGATGTAGAGGTACAGGTTTGGCAAACTCTCCGAAAAACCCACCTGGGTTTGGGACCTTGAATGGAGCAGCTGCTCTGGAGGAGGGGGACAAGCAGGGCACAGCCCAGTGAGGAACTGCTGAGAGCAAATAGAAGCATCAGTAAGGATTTTTAATTTTAATTTTTTTTTTTAATCTTCACTTGTCTCTTGGAGATGAACCCTCTCACATGGTGGCAGCAACTCAGAGCACCTGCACCAGTGAGGCCACAGGCAGCTTTTTGGATGGAGAGAATTCTCCCACAGGAAAAATGGGCTGGCCTGAGAGAAAACCTTCCCTTTCATGGGAAAATGCTGCTTGCGTTGACAAAAATGCTAAAAACTGAGTTTTTCAGAGGGTTTTACTTTAATTCACTACATCATTTCTGAGGGATACTGAGGAGCCAGAATTTCAGCTTTCTAAAATTGGGATCTTTGCCAATCCCGGGATGGCTCCTGGAGTGCCCAGGAGGGTATTTATTCACTCTTCCCACAAACACACTTTTTCGGCTTTTTCTTTTTTTTCTTTTTTTTTTTAGAATCCTGTAACCTTTCAGAATGACTCTAGCTTTGGAAAAATTACAGTGGAAAACTGATAATGTTTTCTTTTGTACTTTTGCTACTGTGTAATCTTTCCAAAGTTAGACAACTTTTGAAGTTACAGAATAAGAAAAAAGATAGGAAAAAAAGTATGCTCTACATGTGTGAGTGGGAGAGGGCCAGAGGTGCATTCAGTGCCTCATGCCTGTTGTCCATGGTCTTGAGTTTGAGAGTGCAGAAGGAAAAATAAATAGGAAATAAAATTCCCCCAAAAGTGAGATTCCTGGCAAAAGGCTGGGAAAGTTTCAATGATGTGATTTATGCCTGGTGGATGCTTCATGTTCTGAGAGTTTTTAGGGGAAGGAGATGGGGGTTGATGGATGGTCTGAACTGTTTGGATGCTGGTTCCCACCTGTGTGCCAGGCTGGGTGCCCGGGGTGACAGCCAGACCTGACAACTCTCACCCTGGCACCATGACTCAAAGCATCACAATTGATTTATAACTTTGGGGGAACACCTGAAGGGGAACTCCCAACCATGCAGGGCCAGGATCTGCAGACTCAGGAGACCTTTGGGTCAGCATCAGCTTTGCTGCTGCTGGGCTCTCATGCCCACATCGCCCTGCTCCAGTGCCACAACCTCCCAACGCCCCTCTGGGAGCCCAGGGAGGGATGCAGGAGCCTGAGGCGAAGTCACTGGGATGCTGAACAGCCACACTCAGCTCCCCAAAGGGACAAGTGGGTGCCCTGGCACAGGCAGGGGTTGATGCTGGGTGCTGGCACCGTGGCACCATGCCCAGTGCCATGGCTGCTGTAGGTGCCAGCCCGGAGCAGGGCCCTGGTCCCCGTGCAATCCCTGACCGTGGTGGGTCAGCCTGCAGCCGGTGATTAATGGCCCAAGGGAGGCCGTGGTGGCCGCGGGCCATGGCTAATGTCAAATAACAAATATGAATGCGGGCTGTAAATATTTATACAATGCGCAGGCACGTGCCGCCTCCCCATGCGGAGACAAAGCTCCGCTCCTCCTGGCCGGCGGGTGAGTCACATCCTCAGAGTCAGGCACATCCCTGGAGTCACATCCCCAGAGTCAGGCACATCCCCAGAGTCAGTCACATCTCCTAGAATCAGTCACATCTCCCAGAGTCACATCTCATCTCCCGGCACCGTGCTGGGGCTGCCGCTCCCACGGGGCTGCGGGGATCCCTGCCCTGCCGCCGCCTGCAGGGATGGTTTGGGGCGCTGGGGAGCTCCTGGAGAACTTCTGTTCGTGGGGCTGCTGATAAGCAATCCTTTAAAGGCAGCTGAGAGCTTTGAAGCCTCTCACTACTCCTGATGGGGGGACAGAGGAGCTGGAGGGACTCTCAGGTCCCCCTTCCCCAGTGAGAAGCTTCCTAGAGGTGGAGGCAAATCCTTCCAGGAGCAGAGCTGGTGCTCCCCACGTGGAGCTGGAGCCTGGGCTGCTCTGGGAGCCCTGCCCATACCTGTGGGTGATGCTGAGCCCCACCTGCCCCTCAGCACCTGATCTGCAGGCACTGGCAGCCATGCAGGGGATGTGCCCGCTTCAGGGCACCACATCTCCCTGTCTGCCAGGGCACTGAGAGCCAGCTGAACAGCCTTTTGCTCACAAACCTCCACTCCTTGTGCTTGAGGCTTCTCCATTTCCCAAACATCTTTAAAACCTCCTCTCCCACGGCCTCCTGTCACAGCAAACCCTTGGGCATTGCTGCCTGAGGCCACTGCCAGCCCGTGGAGCTCTGGATGTGCTGTCCTGGGTACCGCAGCTCTGCATCCCAGAGAGGGGGGTTGAAGGGCAAAGGGGGATGGGGACGATGCAGATTTTGTCCATGTCCCCACGGAAGCCTTGATGTTTTTCCCAGTTCTCCCTCCTGCTTCTCACTCCTGGCTCCCAGGTTTATTTAGTGTGGTCCCTGCTAATTCGTGCACATTCCTTGGCGCCTAAGAATAGAAAGTGATGACGATTATTTGGGTGCCTGGTCGGCTCAGGAAACAGCTAATTGGAGACAGAGACTTTTACCTCTGCCTGGGCTGGCTCCAGCCTGGACTGGGAGTGCTGGAGCAGCATTCCCTATCATCAGACACATGAAAGGGCCAGGGAGTCTCAGGGTGACGTGTCCGAGAGGAGACACACGTTGTGCTGTTTGGGAGGGGACCCAGTGATTCACCATGTCCAGAGCCCATCATCAGGGCTGCTTGGGGAGCCAGAGGCCGCTGGGATCCATCACCTGGGGTGGTGGCTCCCATGGGGACACGGGTGGAGGTCCTGGGCTCTCCCCTTTGCTCCCTCACGTGTTCTCTTGCAGATGTTGACGAGTGCGTGGAGGGCACTGACAACTGCCACATCGATGCCATCTGCCAGAACACCCCCAAGTCCTACAAGTGCATCTGCAAGTCCGGCTACACCGGGGATGGGAAGCACTGCAAAGGTAGGGACACAGCACTGGCAGGGCCAGAGTCCTGCTGAGTGACAGCCCCAGCACGTCAGAGGCCACCAGTGGCTCATCAATCCATGCAAAAAAGCCACTTGTTCACCCTGGCCCATTTCAAACCTTTTATTCCCCTCTTCTGCCCCAAACTCCTGGCCTGTTGACAGTGCATGGGGACAGAGAGGACTCTGAGTGTCCTTGCTGGTGATGGTGGCAGCCATTGTCCTGATATGGTCGGGGCTGCCCATGAAAGGTCACATGGAGCTTGTTTTAAACAAAGCTGGGCTTATTTTCCTGCAGGATTTCTGACCCTCAGGCTGCAGAGCTGTGTTAGCAGCTAAAACACAGACTTAAAAATAAGACATAGAAACAGAGATATAGATGGTGTAGAAATCAATTCAGATGTAGATATAGGTGTAAATCTAGATGTTGATATAGGTATAGACATATATCTACATATAAAAACAACTGAGTAGGGAATGGAAAGAAAATGGGGTCCTTGGGGCAGCAGCAGCAGGAGAGCAGGATTGGGGCAGGGGAAAATTCCCAGCTGGGAGCAGGTTCAGGGTCAGGATGGGCCGAGCACAAATAGCAGAGGGATTAAAGCGCTCCAGGCACTGCAGGGCTTTGCCATGGAGACGGGGCTGCTCTGGCAGCACCCTGGGAAATCCCAGGAGGTTCCCAGCACGCTGCACCAGCCTAAAGCTGTGGGACACAGGGCTAGCTGGGCTCCAGCATCCACGCTGGGGAGAATGGGGATGGTTCTGTAGACTCTGGAGGGATGCTGCAGGTGATAATGGAGCTGAGGAGCTGCTGGAATAGGCAGAGAGAGCAGAACACCCCGGGGCACGTTACCAGCTGGGTGGCAAAGATGCTGGAGAAGGGGAGCAGCACCCATGGTGGGCAGCACCCGGGGCAGCCCTGCAGCTCTCCCACCCTTCTCCCCTGCAGATGTTGACGAGTGTGAGCGGGAGGACAACGCTGGCTGCGTGCACGAGTGCGTCAACATCCCCGGCAACTACCGCTGCACCTGCTACGACGGCTTCCGCCTGGCACACGATGGCCACAACTGCCTGGGTGAGGGATGGCGGTGCCCTGCAGCCCCTCAGCTGCTCCAGCACCTCGGGGCTGACCTGCTGGCTTTCCTTGCTGGGCACTTCCCAGCACTCAGCACCCCCAGGTGTGCTGCAGAGCCATGGAATGTGGTGGCACTCCCACGGCACACCTGTGCTGGGGACAGGATTGCTCCCTGTTGCATCACGGTGATGCCAGGGGAGGATGCTCCATGCTGGCAGGAAAACTCACTCTGTGGGTCCATCTGGGAGGGTTGGGGAGAGGCAGAGAGTGCTGTAGAGCCGTGGAACTGTGGTGGCACTCCCAGGGCACACAGGCATGTCCTGTGCTGGGGACAGGATTGCTCCCCAATACATCGGGGTGAGCATCCTCCCTTGGCATCCATGCTGGGAGAAAAACTCACTCTGTGAGTGCATCTGGGAGGGTTGTGTTTGGAGTTGCTGGGGTGAGGCACAGGCTCCCCACAGCCTCATCCTGCTGCAGCCAGCAGCCGGGCCAGCAGCTCTGTGCCGCTGCCGAGGGCAGCACCAGCTCACCCGGGCCCTGCCGCCCGCTCCGCTCGTGCTCGGGGTCAGCCCTGCACCTGCCAAAATAGATGAGTTAATAGCAAATACGGTGGGGATGGGAACCAGCGGAGGGACTGGGTAAATAATCCCCGGGCCAAGACAAACCCGGCATCTGCCTACGGAGCGGCCGCGCATCCTCCCCGCCACCTCCCGCCGCCCCGAGCCCCATCCGGCCGCGGCCGGGCCAAAGCTCCCGTCAGAGCCCCGGGGCCACCGAGCTGCCGGCGCCCGGCCCCGCTTCCTCCCGCGGGGCGAGCTCCGGGGCTCCGGGCACCGCCTCCCCGCTGCCGGCTGCTCGTGCTGCTTTCCAATTAGTGTCTGCAGAGGGGTCATTAATGAGCTCATCACTGGGAGGAGGAGGAGGGGGAAGGGATTACGGACACATACGCTTTGCATTAAGCGCCGTCACCGGGATCTTTGCAGCCTCCTCGGGGACGGGGGAGATTTACACAGCTGGGAGGAGGCGCGGGCGGGCGGCTCTGCCTTCCTCTCCCGGGGGAGGATGAGCCCGGGAAGAAGAAAGGCAAGCTGGACGTCATGTGTTTACAGAGTTGGGCGGGAGGGGATGGAGGTGGCTGGGGAGCAGCCGGCCAGGCGGGGATCTGGGGGGAGCGTGCTGGCTCCCACCTTGAGCCCTTCCTTAGCTCATCCCAGCATCTCCTCTCTGACCCCGACCAGCTTTGCCCAACCTGCCTGCATCCCCTTTTAGTCAAAAGAAAGAGAAGCAGAGCAAAGCGGTGTGTTGTGCCCAGGCTTTGCCAGTGCCATGGGCAGGAGCTGGGCTGGAGAGGGGTCAGGGGATGTGCCCACCGGAGTCCACAGGCCCCTCCATTGCCCATCCTGGGCGACCTTTTGAACCAGGACAGGAATTCAAGCCCCCGGCCTGACACAGGCCCTGCTGGCTTCTGCCCATCTCTGTTGCCTTTAATAAAACAGGTATTAGGGAAGTGGAGTCTCATTTCAGCCATCGGGTTTGAACGGCTGCCTCCTCATTTTTGAGCAGAGCTGGAAGGAGGAGTTGCAAGACATTAAGTAAGCCCTTGTTCTAAGCAGGGGGATTTGAGGAGGGTTATTGGCATCGGCAGGACATAGCTTGGCTGGGATGAGCTCCCTGCCATGCAGAGGATGTCCCTGTATGCCTGGCTGCAGCCCAGGTGTCAGCCCTCACTGCCCTGTGGGTCAGGGGGTGTTTTCAACACCTCCTTTCCAAGGCAGCAACTTTGTGGGGTGCTCCTGGGCTCTGCTGCCCCTTCCAGCTAGAGCTGCAGCCCTGCTTTGGTAATTCTGAGCGAACCCTCAGGGCTTGCCCGGGGCTGGGGCACAGTGTGAGGCGCTCACACTGCTCAGGCATCCATCTGTCCATCTGTTTAGCCCAACAGCAGGGGCTTTGGGTGTGCTGTGCTGTTTGGGGAGGGGGCTTTGCTGGCAGCCCCCGGGGCGTGCCGTGGCTCAGCCATGGTTCCGGTGGGCTCAGCTTTCCCCTCAGCCCTGGCTGTGCCACGCTCGGGTTCACAGGAGGTTTTCTTTGGCACGGGGCCCCTCGCTCCCAGCCCGCGGGCAGAGGGGGCGAGGGGCGGCCACGGCACAGATTTATCTTTGCCAAGCCTGGCATCCCGGTTGCTCTGGCGCCTCAGGGCACTGGTGAGTTCAGCTAGCACCACTGTCCCCAGAAAGCCTATGGAGAGAGCAATGGGCGCTTACTGTTCATTAAATGCAGGTTTTGCAGGAGCAGCCCGGGGCCAGGGCATTGCTGCTGCCACGGGGCCACGTCCCAGCCCCTTGCAGCCTGGGCTTGTTAAACCAAACCAGGTGTGAGGGCAGAGCAGGGGATGTGAGTCTCCTTACAAGTAATTATCCCTGCTCTGGGCTAAGGTTTCCCAGCTCCTCCTAATGAAGTGCAGGCATCCCCGGCTGGCAGCAGGCTCTGAGGGGCTGGGAGCAGGGGCTGGCTGCAGCCAGCATCCTGGAGGAGCATCCTGGGTGCTCTGGGATTTCTGGGACAAGGGAAAGCCCTTTCTCTGTGGTCTGGTGTTCCCTTTGGTAAAATGAGGCCATCACTCAGGGAAGCTGCAAGATCCCTGCAGCCACTCCTGCTGTGCTTTGCCTTCAACCCCTGCCCTGTCCAGCTGGGGAGAAGCAGGAGCTGCCCAGCAGATCTGTGCCACCCGGTGCCCATGGCCTTGCTGTGCCAGGGAGCTGTGCCACCCGGTGCCCATGCCCTTGGTGTGCCAGGGAGCTGTGCTCACCCCCTGCCCCCTTCCCCCTGCAGACCTGGACGAGTGCTCGGAGGGCAACGGCGGCTGCCAGCAGACCTGTGTCAACATGATGGGCAGCTACGAGTGCTTCTGCAGGGAGGGCTTCTTCCTCAGTGACAACCAGCACACCTGCATCCAGCGCCCTGAAGGTCAGTGCTCGGCCCCTCCACGCCCTGGGCCACCATCCACCCCTGCCTTGATCAGGCAGGTCTGTCCTCTGTCACCTCTGGCCACTCCTGCCTGGGTTTAGGTGCTGCTGCTGGGCTCTTGGTGTGGCAGGTTTGAAAGTGAATCTGTGGTAGGAATGTTGGGAGAGGTGATAAAATGTCCTGCAGCAAAACCCTCACGGGTCCCTTGTCCAGGCACAGCAATGCTGAGCTGGGGACATTAATCCCGTGCCCAGAGGAATTTGCTGATAAATAGAAGGGCCTGGAAATCCTCACACCACCTTGAGACACATCTCCCCCTGCCAGTTCTTGCACAGCACCGAGGCCTTCCTCTCAGTATCAACTCTAAATTGTTGCCATCTGGAGCAACCTCTTAGCCAAAATAGGAGGAAATGAGAGATTTTTGTGTCTCTGCTGATTTTTATCTCTGCTGCTTGGCAAAGCCAGCTGAGTGGTTTTGCTTTCCTCCTTCCCCCTTCCCAGCTGTGTTGGTCACTCCCCAGGAATCCCACCCTGCCCAGGACAGCTGAGCAGCTGCAGTGGCATCTCCTGCGTCCCCATCCCTTGTGTGTGCCAGGATGAGCTGGCTGCTCCTTCCTGCTGGTGCCACACTGGTGGGCCCTGCTGGGGACAGGGGTGCAGGTGCTGGGTCTGGAGCTCAGTGGGGTTTAAAGCCACTGAGAGATGTGGGAGCAGAGTCTCACCCAAGGTGGGAGGGAATCAAAGGTTGAAGGCTCCCAGGTTGGTTTTGTCCACCTTCCCAAGCAGCTCTGTGCCAGGAGCTGGCCAGGGTTATCCTGTCCCCACAAGGTTTCCCCTCATTGCCATCAACTCCCTGTCCCATTCTATCCCACCTCAGATGTCCCTCTGCCACTGCTGCCCAGTGCCAGCAGCTTTTGGAGCATTTCTCTGCTTCCTTTTCTCTTTTAGAAGGCATGAACTGCATGAACAAGAACCATGGCTGTGCCCACATCTGCCGGGAGACCCCTAAAGGGGGCATCGCCTGCGAGTGCCGCCCCGGCTTCGAGCTCACCAAGAACCAGCGGGACTGCAAACGTAAGGAGCACCCCAGGGCTGGGGGTTCACCCTCCCAGGGACCCCCCAACCCTCTCCCCATGGCACACACACCTCCTGCCCCTGCAGCAAAGCCCTGACCCCTGGTAGCTCTTGGTTCATTGAGCCTGAAGCTCAGCACGCTCAGCTCTGCCTCTGTTGCCCTTACAGACAAAGCTTCTGGCAGCCCCCTTTTCTCTGGGATGTTGTGTCCTTACATGACCAGGCTAAAAGGGCAGTTCAAGGGGGTCCCAGGGGCTCAGCATCCCCTGTTCTTGTCCCAGTGTTTCACTTTCCAAAGGGGAGGTGAACAAGGAGAGTGCAGTTGGCATGTGAGGAGCGCAGGAATCCTCTCCCTGGGGCTTGTGGTGCTCTCAGCCTGTCTGATCTCCTGCCAGCATCCCACTGGCAATGCCAGGGTTATTAAATAGATATGTGTGTGTTTATGCAATTATTTTTATTTTGTTTCTCATTTGCTGCGTGCAGCAAATGTGTAAAATTGCTGATGAAATGAAGGCTTAATCCTAAACGAAATGAACAGCACACCTTGCCCCCTGGGGAGGGCTGGCAGGGATTCCCAAAAGCTCCTGTGTCATTCCAAAGCTCAGGAAAGCTTCACCCCTCCCCTGCAGCACTGGATTCAGGGTCAGGGTCAACCAGACCATCAGTCCCCTTTGCTTGGACTCCACTGGTGGCAGTTAGCAGGTATGCAGAGGGAAGACATGAGAAACCACATAACAGCCTGGATGTGCCTAAATCCCACAGGGAAAGTGAAGGGCTGTAGGAATTATCTGTGAGGGAAGGAGGGAGGAAGGAAGGGAAGGAGGGAGGGGAGTCTCTGAGGGTATGGATGAGGTGTTTCCAAGCCAGCTTTGTGTGCTACATGTGGATGGTAGGCAGGGAAGAGGAGCTGGGGCTGCGGTGGCAGAGAAGAGGGGCTGGGGCTGTGGTGACAGGGAGGAGGATCTGGGGCCATGGTGACACTGGTGCTTTGCTCCCACAGTGACCTGCAACTACGGCAACGGGGGCTGCCAGCACACCTGCGACGACACCGACCAGGGCCCCAAGTGCGGCTGCCACGTCAAATTCCTGCTGCACTCGGACGGGGTGACGTGCATAGGTAGGTCAGGGCATCACCCACACAGGGGTTGGGCTGTGGGGTGGCTCCTGTTCCTCCCTGGGGGATTTGTCCTTGCCCTGGTGAAGGTTTTACCCAAGCCTTGGGCGTTTTCCTTTTGCTGAGACCGGGGATGCTCAGCTCTGTGTGTGAGGGATGCTGCAGCGCCTGGGATGTGTGTGCACAGCCACAGGGAGCAGAAGTGATCTTGGTGGTGCTTGGGGGCACGCTGCTGTGCTTCTGTGCTGCTGAAGAGAGAGCAGTGAGGGTGTCCTCATGCTGGGAATTGTTGCTGTCGCTGTCCGTGGCAGCTTTTGAACAGGGATGTGGAGGGGGCAGGTTTGCCCACAGCGATCTGTTCCAACTTGGTGTTGTGGGGCCTTGGCTCAGGAACAATTGTCTTGCAAAAAAAAAAAAAAAATACAAAACCAAAACCCCAACAACCTGACAACTCAACCACCCCCAGAATTGTCCTTTTCCTGTGTGTGTTTTCAAATTGTAAAACATCAAGCAGAGATAGAAGTTTTACTGGTTTCATATGCTTGTGCTGTTTAACAGCTGCTTTGATTTAAAAAATTTTATATTTGGGGAGTGATTAAGTCCACAATTGCTTGAGACATTTGAGTTCTTACTGCAAAATGAAAAAGAAAAAGGAACTGGAAGCAAGAGAGGTTTTGGCTGCCCGTGTCCCTGCTGTGCCCGAACAGAAAACCCTTCGTGCTTTCCGCAGACGGCTCCGTCCTCGGGGCACAGGATCCCCCCCGAGCCCCTGGCTCTCCCTGCCAGCTCCAGGGGTGTTTGGGGCTGAGCCCCCAGCACAGCCCTGCTCCCCATCAGCTCGCTGCTGCTTTAATGTCACCGCTGTCCCCCAGGGAGGATCCCAACCCCTCCTGGCCGCTGGCAGCGCTCACAGCTCACAGTCCCCGCCGTCCTCGTGTTTGTCCCCACAGCCACCGCGTCCTGTCCCCACTCTGAGGAGCCTCCCAGGGGTTGTTGCTGTGCCTGGGTGGGGACTCAGGAGCCTGGGGGTGCCAGCTGGGGGGTTCCCCCTGGATGAGGGGCTCTGCATGCGGCGTCTGGCTCGGGCAGGTCTGGGACCAAGGGTGCCCCTGGACCTGCTGGGTGTGGGGGTGAGAGAGCAGCTCTCCAAAGCATCTCGTGGTCTGGGGGATGCCTCAGAGCAGTCTGTTTGCTGGGGAGGGGCGGTCTCTGCACTCAGACCCTGGGTGCCACAGGTGTGAGGGTGGGATTTGGGATTTTCCAAAATCACCCATCCTCTTGTCCTTGGCCAAAGTGTCCCTCTTTGTCCCCACGCTGGGGAGGCATCTCCCACCAGAGCCAGCACATCCCTGTGAGCTCTCCCCTTGTCCACCTTTCCAGGGGAAATCAGACACTGCTCTAGAGGATTCTAGGAGCAGCACCAGCCCCAAGCCCACCACCACCCCACGCCTGTCTCATGCCTTTGGGCTCTGCAGTCCCCTCTCGCAGGAAGGGGCCTGCCCAGCTCCTGCGCTCCCTGGGGCACTCCCGATCCCCAGCCCCACCGTGGGAACACCAAGGGCTTGTGCTCCTCCAGCTGCCCTGCAGGGATGCCCCGCCAGCAGATTTACAGCCGAGGTACCTGCTCGGATATTTATACCCACCCCTTCTTGTTTTATGGCTGGGGCACAGCAAACAGCCCTCCCCCATCCACGCTGCCCCCTTCACCGCCCCTTCCCCATTTCCTCCAGAATATTTCATCATTTCAAGGGGAATAAAGTTTCCAGCGAGGGGAAACGCAAAGTCGTTCCCCGGGCCACGGGCTTTGAAATTGAACGCGGTGTGTTTGATGGGCTGCCGGGACAGGCCCCTGGTCCAGGTTCCCTTCAGATCACACCACGAGGCAGGAAGCACGATCAGCCCCTCTGAGTGACAGTTTCATTAGGCCACGGCCGGTGTTTTTCATTTTTCTGCTTTTTATTGCTGCTTTTAAAAATGCAGATAATGAGGAACATGCCTCTAAGCGCAGGGGCCATCACTAATGGCTCCCAACATGTCTGCAGGCACGAGGGGGAGGGGGAGCCACGAGGGGAAGCCAATGACCTTATATATTTATATTTATGCTCCAAAAGCAGCCTTTAAAAAAAAAGAATTAAAAAAAAAGCACATAAAACAGCCCTCCAGCAGCCAAGGGTGCAGTGCCTGCAGGGAGATGCAAAAACAGCTGTCACAGTTGATGCAGATTTTGGATATCCAGGAAGATTTGTTAGCCAGGGCATCATTGCAGCTCCCTCCCACCCATATTTGGGGTGCAGCAGGGCTATTGCTGGCCCCCTGCTTGTGGTGGAGTGGGAAGGGGTGGAAAGGGAAGAAATACAGTCAGACGGGGAAGGAAACTAAACCCAGCTGAGGTTTTATGGCTGATTTCCTGACCCACACCGAGGCAGTTTGCAGTGCTCCCCAGGTTGGGGGGCTGGCAGTGCTGGGAGCTCTGGGGTGCTCTGACCCACGGGGGAGGCTGAGAAGCTCAAACACAGCCAAGGTTTGGGCTCACTGCTGGCTTGGCTGCTGAATCCACGGGGTGCAAGCGGCACAGAGGGATGTGGTTGCCTTCCCAATGCCCGTGTGTCTGCGTGGCTCTGCTCGGGGATCACCTCGGGCTGGTTCTGGTTCTGGTTCTGTTCGCAGCCAGGACCCGGCTCCCCACACTAACAGGCTGCACTAACGCTGCTCACAACGCGCTTCTCCCGCTCGCATGGGGCTCCAACCAGCCCAGCACAGCTGGAGGGGGTTTGGAGAGCCTGAGGGACCTGGAATGCTTGGGAGGTGGGAGAGAAGAAGCCCAAAGGGAAACAGGGACAGTTTCCACCAGGCTGGAAATGCAGCAGAGTTGAACCCATTGATGTGTGACACCAACCGAGTTCCCTGCTGGACACTGTTTCTAAATCACTTTTTTATAATGTTAAACAGGGGAGAGACACTTCCAGCAACACGTTATCCTTGAGACGTTTTCTAATGGTAAATATGTTCGTTCTCTCTATCTCTACCAAGGGGTCTAACCGTGGATGGTCTCTCCTCTGGAGACCATGGCGGGGCTGGGGGCTGAGCTGCTGCCTGACCGCATGTCTCACTAACCCTGCCCCGCTGCTGCTGCTTCCAAACCCCAGTGCCAGGCCAGCCCAGGGCTGGGGGACAGGGCAGGGACCCCTCCCCTGCTGTGCTTGCATGAGACGGGGCTCTCACGCTGCTTTGGTGGATCCAGCCTGTTCCAGGGTGACAATCTGCTGTGCTGTGGCTGTGGCAGGGTTACCCCACACCCAGGAGGAGCTGCCTGGTGGGGAGGGGGATGCTTGTGCCCATCTCTGTGCTGTGCACTCCCAGTCACCCCTTCCTAGAGCCCACCCACTCGAGGATGGTCCCCTCTGGGACCTCCAGGGTGTCCCAGGGCTTGGCCTCGCCATGCACTGTGGCTCTCAGCCCAGAGAGCTGCAGCAATGGCAGGGCTGCAATGGCCCTTTGCAGGGCTGGGCACCTCCCCAGGGATTTCTTTGCATCCCCGTGGGGTCTCCAAGCCCTTCACAAAGGTAAGGTGATGCCTCTGCTCTGCCACCAAGGAAACTGAGGCAGAAGGTGCAGCAACTCGTTTGTGGTGGGGAATCTTGTTCTTGGATGTGCTGGGTGCAGGAAAACTCCTGGCACACCCAGCACAGGGAGCACTGACTGCAGCTTTTGGGGGGCTCTGCAGAGCCTTTCACACAGGGGTGGGAGAAGGGGGGACCCCAGATCTGCGTCATCACCACGCTCCAGCCAGCCCAGCTGTAATCCCCCCTATTACCGTGGAATTATCCCCTCTGGCTCGTGGGCTCACGTCCTGCTGAGATTGTCACTTCTCAGAAGGTGGAGATGAGGCCAGAGTGTCACCAGCACTGAGGTGCTGAGCAGGGCGAGGGGTGCCATGGCACAGCAGTGAGGCAGTGACAGCAGAGCTGGGCTGGAGGAGGGTGGAAAAGAGTCTGAGAGTGTGCTTGTATGTGTGTGTGTGTGTGTGTGTGTGTGTGGAGCTTTGTCCTGTCCCTGCCTGAGCGATGGAGGCCTCACCAAAGCCCTGGGTGGCTGGTGAGTCACCCTGGGCTGCCAGCTCCGCCGAACAATTGCTGCTCCCTGGGGCAATCCAGAGCCCAGCCCTGTGCCACCAACCTCCTGTGCCCTGCAGGTACCCCAGCAGCCCCCTCCAGGCTTTCTGCCAACCCACAACAGGGTTTCCCCTTTCCTGCAGTGGTGCTCGGGCTGTGCTAACCGAGCTCACACCCAATGCCCACCCTGGGGTGGTGGCTGGGACTGGCTTTAACCTCAGGTGAAATTCCCAAAGGTGCAAAGCGGCCAGGAGGGGTGCACAGTGCTGCAGGAGGCTGTGAGCACGGTGACTGTGCCCAGGGCACCACATTCTCTCTCTGGAGAGCTCCATCCTCCCTGCTGCAGCTGCTCCTCCAGCTCCATCCCGCTGGCAGCAGCACCTGAGCCAAACCAATCCCCTCATCTCAGCGCTGACCCTGTTAAATCGATCCTCCCCGGGCTGCCCCTGCATCAGCTGCTGGAACAAAGGCTGGCGTTGAACAAACGATTCCCTTTCAGAAAGTTTCCCTTCCCTTGGGCACGGTGTCCCCCGCCCCGTGTCCCCGTCCCCTGGCACGGCCGGGCAGCGCGAGGACCTGGCTGGAGGAACAATATCTGCAGAAATCCTTCCCCTGCCATTAGGTTTTGTAATTGTGCTGGCGATTAATTTCATAAAATGATCCCTTTTGTTCTCTTATTATGGGACATCATAAAAATAGCAGTGGCAAGACGAGCACAGAGCGATCCCAGCTCCCGGGCCCCGCGGCAAATGGTTGGATGGTTCAGTCATTCCTACCCCATGTGGCGCTTGCAAAGAGCAGGAGAACCTGGGATTTGCTCTTTCCAAGGAATTTCTTCAAGGCATTTTCATCTTGGGTTCCTTGAAGCCCAAATGCCTCATTTATCCAAGCAACCAGCCTTCTGAAAGGAGTATTTTATTATCCTTTGTGAACAACTTAATGCACTTCAAACCATTGTTCTGGTGGTTAGGGTTGAAATTGAGGATTGATCTCACAGGGAAGCTGTCAAGCTGAAAATGCTTCATTTAAATTAGTGTCCCTTCTAGTCCTACCAGCAACAGCTGACTTTGATAATACTGCAATAATTAGCTCTTTTTTTTTTTTTTCAATTGGATTTTTTTTTCCACTGATGCTGCCTGCCTCTGAGTGTGTGTTTTAATTACATGATGCGTCTCCCAAATTAGCCTGAGACACATCTCAGTGGCTGAGCAGTGGGTGACGGTCAGGGGCTGACAGCACAGGGTCACCCGTGGCTTTGTGGCTCGGTATCTTGGGGGCAGTGAGGGGGACAGGACCCCCCTGCCACCCCACTGTGGCACTGGGGCTGCGCACCCACACCCTGGGAGCTGCAGCCTGGCAGGACCCGTGTCCGGCTGCTTTGGCACAAGCGCTGTGCCGTTGAATTCCCCAGTCTGGGAAATTGAGCTCCCCCTCTGTGGAGCTGCCCAAGGTGGCCCCCAGGAGGCCCTGCCTGTCTGTGGGGCACACCAGCCCCATGTGTTCAGCATTTCACGCCCCTGTGGCCTCACTGGTGTTGTGTGAGAGCCAAGGGAGCTTTGCATGGGCTCTGAGGGAGCTTTGTACCCGCTGCCGCTCCCAGGCCGTGCCATGGGGGACATCTGGGTGCCTTTTGAGCCTTTTGAGGGGTCCCTCACCCCAGCCTTTGTGTCCCCTTGCCGTGCAGAGACGTGTGCCGTGAACAACGGGGGCTGTGACAGCAAGTGCCACGACGCGGCCACCGGCGTCCACTGCAGCTGCCCCATGGGCTTCATGCTGCAGCCCGACAGGAAGACCTGCAAAGGTAGGTGGGTGTGAGGGGGGCTGGGGGCTCACTGCTCACCCCTGGGTGCCCCAGGTGCCCGTTGTGTCCTCAGCGCCCCCAGAAAAGGCTCAGATTTAGCTCAGCTCCACATGGCCCCCAGTGCTCACCGGCTTGGCATTTGCATCCGTGGGGTGGGGACAGGAATCACCCCCTGCATGGGGACTGGGATGCCTTGCTGCAGGCACCATGCTTGGCCCCACGGCCCTGGGAAGCCTGTGGGGAGGAGGAGAAGGGGGTCAGGTCTAGTCGGAGGCAGCCCTTGTGGGGCTGGAGGGTCCTGTCCCATCTCACCACACCCCAGTGCTGAGCCGCCCCAGGGGAAGGGCTGGGTGTGCAGGGAATGCAGACCTGCTCTGGGGGTGTGAGATGCACAGGTCCCTCCTGGGACACTGCCCAGCCAGGTCTGAGCACCAGGTCCCTGCTTTCCCTGCACCCCAAATGTCCCCCCTCAGGGCTGGCCAGTGCCTGCATTGTGTCTTTTGGCAGCTCTCAGAACTTGACCCCAGCTGAAAGGAAAGCCTGTCCCACTGCTGGCTGCCTGTCTACCTGCTGACTGCTTCCAGAACCCCTTGTCCCTGGTATTTTATCAGAGCACCCACCCCTCTCCAGCTCTGCAGTTCCCAGCAATAACCCGGAGCCACGTCCCCTGTGTCTGGGGTTTTATTAGGGCTGCAGGCAGGTTTACAGCTTGCTCCCTCACAGTCGTAAAAAGAAAGCCTCAGCCCCAGCGAGGCAGAGCTGCTGCCCCAGCACGGGGGGTAGAGGGACAGGGCAGGCTGCTGCCTCCTCCTGGTCTCCTTCCATCTCACACGTTGTTTGCTAACAGTAAATTTTGTGATTAATGGGAAACAAACCACGTCAGCCACGTTCTCCTGCTGACCATCAGAGCCCAAAGGGCTCCCTCCGTTGTCCCTCGTGGTGGGGACAGCATCCAGAGGGGAGCCCTGGGCTCTCCTGGCCCAGCATCCCAGCCAGGGTGTGACCCTTGGGTGTCCCTTGTCCCCACCAGACATCGACGAGTGCCGGCTCAACAACGGCGGCTGTGACCACATCTGCAGGAACACCGTGGGCAGCTTCGAGTGCAGCTGCAAGAAGGGCTACAAGCTGCTCATAAACGAGAGGAACTGCCAAGGTGAGGGGCACTGAGTGCCCAGGGCCCTGCCCCGCCCCTGCCTGCGCTCCCATGGCTGCAGCAGCAGTGCTGCTCATTCCTCTGCCCTTCCTGTGGATTGCATGCATCCTTCAGGGCATTAGTGCTGCATTCAGGCTCTGCTTTGGGGCTTGGCCCTTCAGGCTCAGAGCTGGGCGCTTGTGGGCTCTTGCAGAGCTAAAGCCAGCAATCAGGCAGCTGCCAGGGTTCCCAGTTCTGGGAGGGCAGGAATGGGGAGAAGATGCCTCCAGCTCGCTCCAGATGGAGCTGGCTGCTCCATGCGCCTTCTTCCACCTTTTTCTCCCTGTCCCAACATCGTTGTACTCATCTCCCACAAGTGCGGGAGGTCAGTGCTGCCCATGGCCGAGGTCAGCACGGCAGGTGTGCCTGAGCCTGAGCGTTCCCTCCTGAAAACGCAGGGCCGGGAAGGAAGGAGGGGCTGGCAGCTCCGGGGCTGCCACTGCTTTCATCTCCGTCCAGGCTCTGTGCTCGGCGAGTTTGACGTGAGCGCAGCAATTAACTTAATGAAGCCAATGAAATGATGCTCCAGCCCACCGGGCTGGGTTCACCTCCCAGCCGGGGCCTCCCTGCCCCAGCGAGGTGCCCGCGGGGCCGAGCAGGCATTGCTGGCACCGTCCCGGGGCAGGACCTGCCCGCACAGCATTCCTGATCCCTCCCTGGCATCCTCCCGGTCCCTCCCTGCCCTGCACGGGCAGCAGCCGGGGGCTCCTGCAGCCCTCCCATGCCAGGGAGAGGATTTTGGCCCTGTTTGGCCTGTTTGGGGTGCAGAGGGGCTGCAGGAGCTTGTGGCAGGAGGATGAGGAGGGTGCAGTGGGTGAGGAGGAGCTTGGGGCAGGGAGGGAGCCAAGGCTCTGAAGCACACTGGGGTTGGATATCCAGAGCATCCTGAATGCCCAGAATTGCACTGAATGCCCGGAGCAATCTGGCTCTGGACCCTTGGAGGGTACCAGGGCAGGGTCCCCAGCGTCACAGCTTGCTGGAGCAGGAAGGGGACAGTGCTGAGCCCCCTCTGCCGTGCCAGCTCTCACCTCCTCCCCTTGCCCTTCCTGCAGACATCGACGAGTGCTCCTTCGACCGCACCTGCGACCACCTGTGCATCAACACCCCCGGCAGCTTCCAGTGCCTCTGCCACAAGGGCTACACGCTCTATGGGCTCACCCACTGCGGAGGTAGGGCCGGCTGGGCCCTGCTGGGGTCCCAGGGGTGGGACAGCCCCGGGTGCGGTGCCGTGGGACCCCTGGGGACCCTGCCCACCCCAGGGCCCGTGGGGACGCTCGGTTCCACACCCCGGGCAGGGACGGGGCTCCCAGCCAGACTCGCTGGTGTCTGCAACTTCAAACAGAGCGACAGGAACAATTTGCGACTTGTCTGCAGCGGGAGAGAGAGAGAGAGAGAGAGAGAGAGGGAAAAATCCCCGGCGTTTTTGGCAGGGAGCTGTGACGGGGTGGGAAGGGGAACATCAAAAGGGTTTGATTTAAATTTCACAAGGCAGATGGCTCCCAAGGGCGGGGGCGGGCAGCGGGAGGTGGATGGAACGCGCTCCGCAGGGGCTGCCGAGCGTGTTGTGGCAGCGGTGCCGGCGGCCCGGGGTGGGAGCCCGGGGGCTCCGGGGCTGGGGCAGCGACCCTCAGGATATTTCTGAGCTACACGGTCAGCGTGAGCCCCTGGCACTGTCCGGGGTGGCAAAGGGTTTGATGGCTCCCACCAATGGCCCGACTGAGGGCGAGCTGGGCAGGGAGGGCTGTGACAGGGACAGCTCCATCCCTGACCTGAAGCATCATTTCAGACCCTGCTGAAGAGAGGGACCAGGGCTGAGCCTTTCGGGTTCAGTTTCGGCTCTGTCTGCTGTGCCACGAGGGGCTGGGGCTGGGCTCAGCCTGGATGGGCTGCACCCGACCCTGCCTGGCCCTTGGGGACACCGGGAGTTGGGCTGTCCCTTATCCCCATAGAGCTGGCACAGCTCGGGGGAGGTGGCACTGCTGGAAATGCCCTGAGGTGCAGAGGTGCCCCAGCTGGGCTTGGATTTACCATCCAGAATGCCAGCCCTGAGAAAATGCAATGATTCAGTGTCAGAGCCAAGGGGTCCCACTGCTCCTCAGCCACTGTCCCTCCCTCTGTCCCCACAGACATCGATGAGTGCAGCATCAACAGGGGTGGCTGCAAATTTGGCTGCATCAACACTCCGGGCAGCTACCAGTGTACCTGTCCTGCTGGCTGCAAGCTGCACTGGAACAAGAAGGACTGTGTGGGTACGTCAGGCCAGGAGCCAGCAGGGCCAGGGAGGAGCTGGGGGCTCTGGGATGCCAGGCTGGAGTCCCTGTGCCACGCTCTGGCACCATCTCCTCCCTGGTCAATCCCCCATGAGCTGGGGGAGGGCACTGGGGTCCCTCGTGGGTCTCTGAGCTGTGCCAGCCATGGGCATCCCTGATTGTCATCACCAGCTGGTGCTTGTCCCTTGGAGCTGGTGAAGTGCCTGCCAGGTTCGGTGCCACCACGGGCCACCCTCACGTGCAACAAGATGGGCAAGAAGGACAGCTGTGCCCTTTCCTGCACCTCCAAGGCCCGATTCCTGCCAGGTACCGGTACTAGTGCCACCACCAGCATGAGCAGGGGGGTCCCCATTTCCCCGCATGGCCTAAACTGAGGGGAGAGGAGTGGCTGCGCAGCCGGAGTGCAGGAGGGAGGGAGGGATGCTGTTGTTTAGGAGGGCTCATTGCTGGGTGCAGATCCACGGGCCAGGTCCCTGGTGCAGGATCCCTATGGCAGGGTGCTGGGCATCCTCCTCCCATGGCACAGCCTGCCTGCATCACCCTGGCAGAGCCAACTCCCCTTTCTCCCTCCCAGAGTCCGACAGCAGCTACACGGTGAGCTGTGGGACCCCCGTGCTGCGGCAGGGCCAGCACAGAGCCACCAACAGCAGCCAGCAGTGCCTCGGTAAGGGGGCTCCTGGGGTGCCCACGGCTGCCAGCAGCCTGGCTGGGCCATGCCAGCTTGCTGAGCACCCGCCTGTTCTTTCAGAGACTGTGGCTGCCCCCGTCAAGCAGAAAGCCTCCTTCAAGATCAAGGATGCCAAGTGCCACCTGCACCCGCGGAGCAAGGGCAAGCAGGAGGAGGCCGGGAGGGCAGGGACACAAGGTGAGCTGTGAGGGTGGGGAGGTGCCCGTGCCCAGCAGGGAGGGGGTGCTGACCTGTCCCACCCTGCAGGTGGCTCGGCGCCGTGCTCTGACTGCCAGGTCACCTTCGTCAACCTCAAGTGCGACTCGTCCAAGAAGGGGAAGGGGCGCCGGGCTCGCAACTCCCCCAGCAAGGAGGTGACACGGATCACGCTGGAGTTTGAGGCAGAGATCAAGCCTGAGGAGATCACAGGTGGGCACAGCACTGGCCTGACACGTCCTGGGTCAGCACAGGTGGCGGGAGCAGGGGCATGATGCCATTCCCATGCAGCAAGGAGAGATAAACCGGTCCTCATCTTGCACTGGATTGGCACACGCTGGGTAGCACCTGCAGCTGAGCATTTGGGGGATGGTTTTAATGCTTCTGGGCTTCCCTCTGCACCCCTCCCTTCTTACTGCATCCCTCCTGCACCCCCATTCCCCTCTGTGCCCCCCAGCCAGCTGCAACCTGCACTGCCTGCGACAGCGAGTGGAGAAGAAGCTGAAGTCGGCCATCAAAGCGCTGAAGAAATCCATCAACCAGGAGCGGTTCCTGCTGCGCTTCTCGGGGATGGAGTACGAGGTGGCCCGGAAGCTGAGCGTGGCCCCGGAGCGGCAGGAGAGCTGCGGGCCGGGCCAGCAGCGCCTGGCCAGCAAGTGTGGTAAGGAGGAGCGAGGCGAGGCGGGGTGACGAGGGGACCCGGCGGTGGCAGCGCCCGCAGCACCACCGACGTCCCCCCCGGCTCTCAGTCAGCTGCTCGCAGGGCACCTATTACCACGGGCAGACGGAGCAGTGCGTGCCCTGCCCGCCCGGCACCTACCAGGAGAGGGAGGGGCAGCTCTCCTGTGACCTGTGTCCCCGCGGCGACACCTTCGGACCCATCGGAGCCACCAACATCACCGGCTGCACCGGTAAGGGAGGCACAGCCGGGGCTCGCTCAGGGGGTGTCCAGGGCTGCAATTTCAACCATCAGCCAGCAGGCAGGAAAGCCTTGAGCATCCCCAGGGCTCACAGGAGTTGCTGGTTTGGGTGTTTATTATTTAGAGGGCACCGCAGGAAGGGCAGCACTTGCTCTGGGTGTACTGGTGGTGCCACAGCTGAGGGGGACAGGATCTGGGCGTGGGGCAGGAGAGCATGTGGGGTGCCAGGACTGAGCAACGCCTTGCCTGCAGGTCAGTGTCCCCCTGGGCAGCACTCTGCTGATGGCTTCAAGCCCTGCCAGCCGTGTCCCCGTGGCTCCTACCAGCCCGAGGTGGGACGGGCGCTGTGCTTCCCCTGCGGCGGGGGCCTGACCACGCGCCACGAGGGAGCCCTGTCCTTCCAGGACTGCGACACCAAAGGTAGGGCACAGCCAGTCCCCAGCACGGGCACAGCCAGCGGGGCCGTGCCAGCCGCTGACACGGCCCCTGTGCTCCCTGACCCCCCAGTGCAGTGCTCCCCTGGGCACTACTACAACACGAGCGTGCACCGCTGCATCCGCTGCGCCGTGGGCACCTACCAGCCCGATTTCCGGCAGAACTACTGCATCTCCTGCCCCGGCAACACCACCACCGACTTCGACGGCTCCACCTCCGTGTCCCAGTGCAAAAGTAGGCGAGCTGGGGGGGGCAACAGAAGTGGGGGGACAGGTGTGGGGTCCTCCTTCAAAAGTATTTTAAAATCCTGTAGAGTTTGGGGTCATTTCAGGCAGGCATGGGGGGGTTCTGCCTGACTGTGTCATCATCTGATTAGTAGGAAGGATATGATTCTGACTCCTTCTCGACCAGTAAATAGGACAAATAGGTTGTTGGCAATGATTAGGATGGGGATAGCGATTAGGAAGAATAGTAGATAGGTGAAAAATTTTGTAGTGTAGGGGTCTGAGGCTATATATCTTGTTGCAAATTGTAGGATAGATCATGATACAAATAGTGCAATGGGGAAGAAGGGAAGGGAGTAGAAGTCTATTTTCAGGCTGATGGGGATTTTGAAGTTTATAATGAACTTTCATTCCCAGAAGGAGGTGATGCTTTCTGTTCCGGAGTGGATATAGATTGCTGTTGGGATCAGGCTGATCAGGAAGGAGGTTTTGGCTGTGTTTGTAATTGTGCTGGGAGTGTTTTTGAGGTTGCTGGATAGAAGAAGAAATAGGATGGGGGTGGAGAGGGTTGCTAGGGTTAAGAGTATGAATGTGTTTAGGACTAGAGAGATTCCACACTGCCCCTCTTGCCCAGCAAACCCTTCCCAGGACTCCCACCCATGTCCTGGTTCCCATCTGAGCTGCTCTCCTGCCTTGCAGACCGGCAGTGTGGAGGGGAGCTGGGGGAGTACACGGGCTACATCGAGTCCCCCAACTACCCGGGGAATTACCCCGCCAACATCGAGTGCACCTGGAACATCAACCCCCCGCCCAAGCGCAAGATCCTCATCGTGGTGCCTGAGATCTTCCTCCCCTCCGAGGATGAGTGCGGCGACGTCTTGGTCATGCGGAAAAACTGTAGGTAACCGAGCAGGCCACGGTGCTCAGGGGAGGAGCTGGGCAGGGAAAGGCTGGGGTCTGGCATGGAGGGACAAAGGTGCATCCCCGGGCAGCAGGAGGGGAGTTTTGGGAATAGGGTGAGTGGGGAGATGAGCATCACCCTGCCATCCAGGGGTCTTGCTGGATCTCAGGGGGATGTGCATGGGCTGGGCTGCACACCTGGGCCTCAGCCTAACCCCCATTTTGGGGGTTAAAAGCCCCATCTGGTGCTTTCCAGAGCAAGGAAGGAATAATAATCCCTGGTATGTAACATGAGGGTTAGTGGGGGCTCAGCCTCACCCAGCATGGACAATTCCCATCCCTGATGCCACCCTTGACCCAGTAAGGCTGGGGGTAACTCTGCTGATGGGCAAGCAGCATCCTGTGTCCCCTTGCTGTTCCCTGCAGCCTCCCCATCCTCCATCACCACCTATGAGACCTGCCAGACCTACGAGCGACCCATCGCCTTCACCGCCCGCTCCCGCAAGCTCTGGATCAACTTCAAAACCAGCGAAGCCAACAGCGCCCGGGGCTTCCAGATCCCCTACGTCACCTACGACGGTGAGCACGGGCAGATGCCATCCCAGCACCCTGGTGCTTCTTCCCCCACAGTTTGGGACCCAGGTCACCCCCGGTTCACACCTCGTGTGTGTTTGGGGGGAGCAAACTGAAGGATGGAGGCCAGAGGTTTGGGGACAAGTGGCAGCTCATGCCCTGTGTGTTTTGGCAGAGGATTACGAGCAGCTGGTGGAGGACATAGTGCGGGATGGAAGGCTCTACGCCTCTGAGAACCACCAGGAGATCCTCAAGGTGAGCCCCCAAGTCTGTAACCCCCCAGGGCACCCTTCCTTTTGGGGATGCCTCCTGCTCTCCTTGCCCTTGGGGCTTCAGAGGAGCATGGAGGTGATGCTGAACCTTCCTCTGGCTCGGCTTCCCTGCAGGACAAGAAGCTCATCAAAGCTTTCTTCGACGTGCTGGCGCACCCCCAGAACTACTTCAAGTACACAGAGAAGCACAAGGAGATGCTGCCCCGCTCCTTCATCAAACTCCTGCGCTCCAAAGTCTCCAGCTTCCTCCGGCCTTACAAATAGCCCCGCAGCCAAGGAAACCCTCTTCTCCCTTCCTTCTCCTCTCTGATTTTTCCTCCCTCCGCCTGGCTCCGGCAGGATCGCCTCTGCTCGCCCCGCAGACGTCTCCCCACGATGTCCCCGCCGCTCCCTGCAGACCGGGGCTCGCTCCGCTCCCATCCCGCGGCGGTGAAGCCGCTCCCCTCTTCCGAAGCAGAAGGTTTTAGGAAACTGCAGTAGTGGTCCCGTGTGCTCCTCCCTTTGGTTTCCTTCACGCCGGGTCTGTCCCCGTCCCTGGTGCCAGCAGCAGCCCGGGACAGTGAGTGGGGTCCCTGTCCCTGCAGCCCCCGAGGAGCGCAGGAGGCGACGCCGCAGCTCCCGGCGCCGCTCAGGGGGAAAAGAACGGACAAAGCCGACTGGATGGAAAAGGAAACGCAAAGGAGCGGTGGCAGAGGCCACCAGCGCGGCACCGCGGCGGCTCCGGCCCGCTGGAGAGCCGCGCTGGTGCTGCGAGGGAAGCGCAGCCAAGCCACGTTCCCGGAGAACAATGTCTGGCTGCACGGGAGAAAACAGGGAGCAAAGGAGAAGGACTTTCAGCCGGGTTCGATTTTTTTTTTCTTTCCGCCCCCCCTTCCTCCTCCACACACCCCAGACACTCGTGCCAAGAAACCAGACTTTGTTACAAGCTCTGCCAAAGAGTAACTCGGAAAAGCAAGCTTTGAGAAGAGCAGGAGTTAATGTTTGTGCACTAGGATATCCTCCTTTCTACCTTTTTCATATGTATTAAGTGCAATCATTTGAGTCTTCCTTATATTATTTAGAGGGAAGTTGTTTTGTTTTGTTTTGTTTTTTTCTACTAGAAACGACAATATTTATATCTGCCTGAGAAACGAGAATGTGTGTTTGCAAGAAAAACAAAAACCACCCACCCAGAGCAAGCTGGGCCTGGGCTGCGCTGACCAGCACAATGGTATCTTCTGGCCTTTTCTGCCACGTTTGTCCCCGATAAAAGCCCCTCTCTGGGGGGAGATGGTGCCTCTCCTGCTCGGTGCAATGGGGTGAGTTTTTGCAGGGAGTTGGAGGCGTCTTGGTTCATCCATGGGGGTGGAGTTGGTCCTGTCAGACTGATCTGCCACAGTTTGGGCGTTCCAGTCCCATTGCAAGGGGACTCAGCTCTGTCACCTGCTTGCTGCAAACCGATTTTGTTTCCCCGCAGGGGCTCAGGGATGAGGCAGCACCTGCTGAGGATGGGGCTGGGAGGAGAGGGGAGCTGGCCCTCCACTCAGCCCCCAAATCTCTCCTCCAGGGACAGCAATCCCACCCTCACAGACCTGGGCAGCTTTTGTGCCTCTGAGTCCCACCAGGCATTTTTGGCCCCATCCCTGGGTGTTCTCACCCTGCAGGGATGCTGTGGGAGTCCCTCCCCAGGAGTGAGGTGCAGATCCCAGGGAAAACCCATCCTGCCACCCCTTGTTTCACTGCATCTGCCTCCCCAGACAGGCTCAGCTGGGGACAAGGGCCAGGTGGACACCACTGGTGGCTTTGTGCCCCCAGCATCTTCATGTGGACAGGACACCTAGGGACCAGCAACTGCTCACCCCTCTGCTCCTCCTCCTCCTCCCCAAGCCTCCCTCCTTTTCCAGCCCCGCCACCAGTTCTCAGCTGTCATCCTCCCCACACCTTCATCGCCATCTTCATCCTCTCAAAGACCTGGAGCTGCCAGGACTAAAAATGATCAACCAGCCTAAAGCTCTGCCAGTGGCAGCTCCCTTCCATCACTGTTCCCCCTTGTCCCTCACTGTCCCTCTGCCCACACCTGAGCCCAGCCCTGCTTTTAACAAACCCATTATTTATTGCCCTGCCTGTCCCACGGGGTCCATCTTTCCTCCATCCTGTTTTCCCTCCTCGATCCACACTGCTCCAGCACCCCAGGAGCCTCTCCCGGGCTCCGTGAGGGGCTGAGCACTGGCACGGGGGCTGAGGTTTGTCCCCAGGATGCGTCAGTTGGAAAAGTCTGTCCTGATTCATCCCAGCTGTGGATTTTCCCCTGCTGCCGCCGGCTCCCAGCCTGTTTGGAAGCTCCACATCTGTGGGCTGAGCTGTTTGTCACTTGGTCGCTGTCTGCAAGCAGCTGCTTTAATGCACAAAAGCTGCTGGAGGGATCTGGAGGGGTTTTGTGGCTCTGGGACAGTGACACAGGGCAGTGACCTTTGAAAGGGTCCTTAGCATTTAGAAGGAAAAAAAAAAAAACAGCAAAAATAAAACCAGCCCAGGAATGACCAACCCTGCCCTCGTGCCCACCAGAGTTCATTAACTTTGATTAATTAACTCTGGCTCATCTAATGGCAGGTCACAGGGCTGTCCTGGCTGTGTCCCCACACCAGCCACCTCTGCTCCCTGCTGTGGAAGGGTGAGGTGGCAGCACATCCTCCTGGTAATGGAGCTTTTCCCCCTTCTGCTTTCACCAAACAGCTCAAAAACGCCCCCAAAATCCCACAGGGCCCCTGGAGCCACCCACCCCCAGCTCAGAATGGCTTTGAAAGGCTGAACCCACATCAGGCACCTCGGGGATCAAGGTTTTGAAGCAGTCAAGAAAAATTAGGGTTGTTGGGGGTTTTGGATTTGTTTTTTTTTTTTTTTTTTTCATGTTGGAGTATTTATATCTGCCTTTTGCAGCTTGCAGCGGGCCAGGACTTGCCATCTCCAGCAGAAATGATTAAAGTGATGAGCAAGATGTAGTTCCTGAAGTTATTTGCACTTGATTAAAAGAAAAAAAATTGTTATTTGAACTTTGTAAAAAGAAATGTTTGCATTTTGTATTGTCTTTTTTTAATTATTAAATGGAATTTCTTGGTGTTGTGTTGATCTTTCAAAAACTGGCTCTGATGCTTATTTTAAAGGTTTCTAACAGCAGGATCCAGAGCTATTTTCATTGTTTTGTTCCCTCAGATGCTGACAAGCTTTTCCAGGGCCCAAAGTATTTTTTACCCCCCCAGAAGCTTAAATGCTGCACTTCCCTAAGCTCTCCAGTCCCTGCACAATGTTATTTATTTATGAACATTACTTAATTTCATTTTTAGCCCAGAACATGGAGTTAGACTGGCTTGGAGGGGATGGCAAACACCCTCTACCTCAGCTCCAACCCCTTTGCTGGGCTGCAGCTCTGTCCGTCAGCACCCCTGGACTGACAGACAATGCTCAAGTCCTCATGAGCTGCACCTGGGCAGGTGTGGGCAGGTGAGGGGCACTTGCATTTAAACACTTCTGCTGCCCCTCCCAGAGCAGGGCTGGGCTCTGCACAGGATTCAGGTGAGCTCTGCACCAGGTAAGGGTTCTCTGTGTGGGCACAACTGCTGAACCTGTACCTGCTGGGACACCTCTGCCCTGGGAGGGAGTGTGGGATCCTTCCCTTCCCCTCCCTCTCTGAATGCAGGGGGGTGAGTGAGGCTCCTTCCCTCAAAAGCTCCAATATCCCACTTGGAATTCATCTCTCTCTCAACTCAACATCTCTCAAATGAACATCAAGGACTCATCTGAGCCCTTCCCCTGGAAGGAGCGAGCAGCTCTTTGGCAAAGCCTCCCCGAGGAGCTCTGCAGGAACACAGGCACACACAGCTGAGGGTGTCTGCAGGGTTTATTGCTGCCCCAGCCCTTAGTAGAGGCGCTGGGGTTTCCCCATGGTGCTCTTGATGTACAGAGCTCGCACGTTCTGCCAGTTCTTCTTCAGCAGGGACACCAGGAAGTTGATGGCCAGGTGGATGTTGTAGACCAGCTCGTCCTCTGTCATCTTCACGTGACCCACGGCCACAGCCAGACAGAGCACCTGGGGACAGACACAGGTACAGATTTCACATGCTGACCCACGGCCTGGACATGCCCACACCAGCTTCACTTTGTGCCCCCAGCCCTCTCTGCACAGTGGCAGAGGCCAAGTTCCTCTCTGAGCAGCCTCGAAGTCAATGCTCCCCACAGGCTGGAGGATTTATGAGTGAGCCAAGAGGCCAAGTGTCAGGACATCGTTAGCTCAGCTATTTTAAATGCTCAAGCATTTGCAAACCCTCACATCGTGTCCTCAGGATCTCCAGAGCTGCTCCCAAGTTCACTTGGACAGAGCCAAGTCCCAAATTCACTCCAGCAAAGCCCCACTCATGCTCAGCACCCCAGGGACACGCCAGGAGCAGCACCCAGGTGCTGGGAGCAGCTTCAATCACACTGCATTGTGCCCAGCACTGAAACATCCAACCCCCTTCTCATTATCTGCTCCAAGATCCACCAACCACAGTTAAACTATTCCTCCTTCCTGGCTGGCCATGGAACACTCTGGGTACATTTCCCCTTGCTGGAGGAAAGCAGCCACAGCTCCAGGAACACTCGAGGGACACCTACAGCCCAACCCAGAGATGGCAGAGACACTGAACAACCCCCAGGCACAGATAAAGCCAGGCTTTACCTTCTTCATCTGGAACTTGATGGTGGATTTGACCTCATCCACCTTGGCCACCAGGTTCTCGTTGTGGGTGAGCAGGGAAGGGAATTTCCCAGCTTTGTTCAGGCCCGGGCCCAGGATTCGAGGGATTTGCTTGATCAAGGACTCGGAGGCCAGGAAGGCGTCGTACTTCTTAGCTGCAAGGAGACAAGCAGGAGCTCAGGATGGACCCTGCTCCCACCCCAGGCTCCAGGAGGGACTCAGCTGAGATCATGCAACTCCTCCATGCAGATAAATCCAGCATTCCCCGGGTCCCACCAGAACTGGAGCTGGTTTTGCCAAAAATCTTTGAGGAACGACTGTCACAGCAGCCAGGCCCCAGCCCCAGTTTCCTGAAGGAACTGTCCTTTGCTGAGCCCCAGATGGCACTGAGCTCCAAGCTCTGCCTCTCCAACTGAACTCCAACTCTGTGCACAGCAGGATGAATGAGACAGGATCCATCTAGGAGAGGCTTAGCCAACAATCACCTAACAGCTCAGAGTTCCACGGCCCATTATGGACTGAGGGACAAGTTCCTGCCTGCCTGAGCCATGTACCAGAAGCACTCTGGAGTTCTCAGGAAGGCAAGGATTTTCTCTTTCTGACCAAGAAAAAATGAGTGCATTTCATTCTGTGCACACGAGAACTGCAGGACTAAAGCTCACTCTTGCCTCTGGTGTTTCCTGGCTTTTGCTGCCCTGCAGCTCCCCGACCAGGAAAGTGAGGGACATAGCAAAGGATGAAACTGTTGACAGGGACATTTTCTGTGTCTCTCCCTTCCTTGGACAACCAACCCCATTCCTGCAGTACTGATCTGTCAGATCTGCACTGGAAACAGCCTGGTGGCTTTTCTGAATAGTTTTTGGGCAGATTTTGGTATTGGTGCTGACTCTGCTCAGAGTTTCAGCTCTGCAACCAACCATGACATGGAAATCTGAGCATGGGGAAAAGCCTCATGGACACTCACCCAGCTTCTTCACCAGCTTCTTGTTTTTGTTGAGCTTCTTCAGAGCTTCTATGTCCATGTGAGGGATGTCAACTGCTTTGGCCTCATCGCAGTGCTGCTGATCCCCCAGCAGACACACGGAGAATTTGGGCCGTGGCGTCGACTTCAACCTGAGGAAGGAAGGCCCGAGTCAGTGACGGGCCAGCCCCAGCGCGTGTGCACGGAGCCAGCACGGAGAGACCTTACCGCAGCACGGGGCATCCTCACCTGCCGTCCCGGGCAGGCCGGTGGGCACAGCCTGGGGGCTGCCGCACCTCCCCTCATGTTTTAAGACCCAGGGTGAGGGTCCGTCCAGCCGCCCCCACCGGGCCGGGCCGCGCTGGACTCCCCGAGCGGTTCGGCACCGCTGCGGCCCCGAGCGGGACCGGGCAGCGCCGAAGGCTGGGTAGGAGCGAGAGGATGGCGAACCTGACGGTCCCGGAGAAGCGCTTGTCCTTCTGCGGGTCATAGTTCTTGAGGCTGATCTGCAGCTCCACCGTCTCCACGAACCTGCGGGAGGCACCGGGTGAGGCCCGGCCGGGGGAAGGCCGAGGCCGGGGTGACACGTCCGCGTGGACAGCTCTTACTTGCGCTTCTTGGCACGGCTGCCGTGCAGCACCTCCTTCACCGCCTCGTACAGGGTGTCCCGGGACACTTTGCTGCTGCGGGGGGAAACGGCAGAGGGGACTCAGAGCCAGCCCCGCCCGGGACGCGGCCCCGAGTCCGCCCCGGTCCCTCCGCGTTCCCGCCGCCATCGACACCGAGGATCGCGCCTCGCTGGCTGCCCGGCCGGCCCCGCGGCCCCCACTAGGCACGGATGGCGGAGGATGGCGGCGGATGGAGCGGAGCAGACGCTGAGCTGCACCCACCTCATGGCTCCGGCTGCTCGGATCGAAGGACCGAAAGTGCCTCCGGCGCGCTATAAATAGTGGCGAGATCTCGCGAGACTGGAGCGCGCGGCGCGCCGCCATATTGGGAGCGGCGCCCCAGGGCCGCCATGCGGGGAGCGGCGCGGGGAGCTTGACCGGCTGCCCGCCCGCCCGCCCGCATCTCCTTCCTTGTTAAATAAACAACCGGGGATCACTGCCCTCTGTGTGCGACCACCAGGATAGGAGTTCCTGCATCGCTTCACAGTGTATCCCAGGAGCTCCGGGCTGGCCTCAGCGGCCGCCGAAAAGGAGCTACCGGTCCAGGCCGGGCGCGGGCGGCAGCACTGCCCGGTCCTGGTCGCTGGGCAGGTACCGCGGGCAGCCCGGGCCGGGCCGGGCCGGGCAGCGGAAACCGGGGCCATGTGGCTTCGGCGTTGGCACCGCGCATGCGCCGCCGGCTGCACTCCCCGCATTGGCCGCGGGGCGGCGCGCGCGCCCCGGAACCTGTATGGCGGGCGGGGGCGGCCGCGCGCGGGCGGGAGCGGCGCCGCCATGCGGGTTGCGGGGTGGGCGGGGCCGCGCGCGGTGCACGTCGGGCCGGCGGCGGACCCGGGCCCGGCGGGTAGCTCAGGTCGGTGTGGGGGATGGGGGGGCGGCGATGGCGGCCGGGCCCGGAGCCGCCTCAGCCCCCGGGACTGCACGGGGGGAGCTCCCGGGCCCGGAGCCGCCTCAGCCCCCGGGGCACCGCGCGGGGGGAGCCCCCCGTGTCCCCGCCACCCCCGGGCCCTGCCCTCGCAGCCCGTGCCGCCTTTCCCCGGTCTCTCGGGGGCACGGCGGGGCGAGGGCCGGGGCAGCGCAGCGGAGCCTCCGCCGGGTGCGGGGAGCGCGGGGCGAGGCGGCACCGAGCGGGCACCGAGCGGCGGCGGGCACGGTGTTCCTCGCTCGCTGCTGGAAATGAAAGGATCAAAGATTTGTCTGTCAGAGGTGGCTCAGGAAGAACGCGCTGTGGCGCCTCTGCGAGATAACCCATCAGCAAATGTTCTTGTGGGGGTGTGCAGGCTTTAGCATCGTTTGCTTAGAACCTGGGATTGCGTCCCTCGGAAGGCTGGGAATTAGGAGAGGGAGGAGAGAAGGAGGAGTAAAGCTCATCACCCCTGTGTGCTGCAGCACAGGACATGCTCAGCCTGTAGGTTCAGGATTTAAAGTACCTGGAAACCCCCGCAGATCATTTGGAGGACGGGAAGGGCTGGAATATAACGTTTGTGCTGTCTCCAAGAAGAGTCTGTCAGTTCAGTTCACTGATAAGCTTTATTTCATATCTGGCTGTGGAATAGATTCTTATCCCTGCCTGCCTTTAGTGTGGGAAGGATGCAGCATCGTCCATCTTAACCCTTTAAACCTCAAAAGTCTTTTGAGGCCATTCAGGCCTTTCCTAGTGTGCAAAAGTGGAGAGACTAAAGGAGGAGGAGAAGCTAAGGGCAGAAATTGAAACAGAATTGTTCTTTTTACTTAAGGCTCGCAGCAAAGACGCCGACCCCGTGTCCCACAGGCCCCCGTGCTGCCAGGCAGGATCCATGTGTGGGGACTCGGGGCAGGATGGAGAGCCTGGGGCTGCCAGCAGTGACCCTTGGGGATGGCATCACGGCCTACCTGCAGCAGGCTGCCAGAGGTAACAGAGCCTCGGGCTGTCAGAGGCTCCTCCTGCCTCTGAAACGAGAGTCAGGCTCACCAAAAGGGCCCCTCACGGCGTGGGAGCTGCCACACGGGCAGCTGGTGGATTTGCACTGGAGTGTGATGTGAAATAAAATACAAATCAAACGTGCCTCTGGTTTGGAAGTGAAGCTGTGGAGATGGGAGAGGTGTTGCTGTGGAAATAAAGGTGCTGCTCAGACTAGGAGAGCCCTGTTCTCTCCAGGGCTGCTGTGGACAGGGAGCTGATGCTGTGCAGCTGATGCTGTGGCCTGCAGGGCTCTGCTCCACCAAAACTTCCCCTGGGCTGAGCAGGTGGATTTGCATCCCTGGTGTTTGGCACAGGGTTTGGTTCACGGCAGTGCTTTCCCCGCTCAGAGAGGTGCCAAATTCCACACCTGCCCTTAGCCTGGTGTTGCTGAGGTGCCCCTCTCTGCACCACCCACTGCTCCCAGGAAGAGGAGCACGCTGCTTCCCAGCCTGCAGAACAGGATGGAGGAGTTGTGCAGCTCCCTGTCCTGGGGGTTGCTCTCCTGCTTCATTTTCTGGGCAAACTCACTGCAGGTTTGTTATGTGTGTGGAGCTGTGCTGTCTTGGAACCACCAGGTTGTGTGACCCCCTCTCAAACCTTTTGCTCCCGGTGAAACCAACCTGCATTCTCCATGTTCAGTGGGATGGAGCAATGCACCAAATCCTCTCTGCACCAAATCTTTGGGTAACTCAGTCACAATTACAGGTTTGCAGTCAGGCTTTGGCAGAGTTGAGCCTCGACAGCCCAACAGTGGCAGCACTTTATGCTCCTTTAGGTGCTGTAATTGTTTCCTAACAGTTGATCCTCTGCCAAAGTAGTAGATAAATCTCCCAGCCCTTGCTGATGCTGCTCAGTACACACAGTTGGTATTTTCTTCCAACACAAGTGTAATTGCTTTCTGTGTATGCTCCGTCTGCTCCTTGGCACGAGGAGCTGTGAGGGGCAGCTCCTCACCAAGGGGTGCCTGAGGGTCTTTGTGTCCTGTCTAGACAAAGCAATGCCAGCATTTCTGGGAAGTGTCTCTGTGGGGGAAAGCTGATCCATACCAGCCTAGAAGTGACAATTTGTCCCTTTTGTGGGCAGAGGGGCTGGGTCAGCAGCTGATGGTGTGTTTTAACTGTTCCAGGTGAAAAGCTGATTGAAGGGCAAGTCATTGAACTTGAAGATGGGACCACAGCTTATATCCATCAGGTGACAGTTCAGAAAGGTGAGGAACACACACTGCCCTCTTTCTCTTTGGAAGGACACTGTAGGTGTGGCTGCAGCTCTCAGTGCTCCAGCATTTGGGCTCCTCTGTCAGTTCAGCTCTCAAAATTCCACATGAGCATAGGGTTTCTGTTGGGGTTTTCTTTCTTGTGGTTTTGAGGCTGAGTAAACAGGGCCATTGCCTGCAAAGTTGTTAGCAATCTGATGAGAAGGTGAATTTGGTGGAGGTGGAGACCAATGTTCAAGTGCCATTTCACCTGTGGGCTCTCCCTGTTGTCATACCACGAGCCCAGTGAGCTGTGAGCTGTGTTGGTGCCAGGCACACAGCACACACAGAGCTTGTTTCATGTGGGAGCAGCTGGGCAGGAATTTCCTCTGAACTGTGAGATAATGCATTACTTCTGGGATAGGTGCTGGAGGTGGGAGGGGTCGTGTGGGGATTGTTGGGAACAATGCCACCTTGGCCATTGACCCATCAGCCAACATCATCTCTGAAATTAGGGAACTTTAGACAGGTGGTGGGAGCCCAGTTCATGTGGCAGGCACCAGAGGGGCACGGAGGAATCATCCTTGGCCATGCCAAGATGCCAAAGGGCAGGTAGAAAGAGCTCTGTTACCTTCGGCAGTCCTTCCTTGATGCTCCTTGTGTGCCACCTCCCTGTTCTGTTCTCCAAAGGCTGCTGGAAATGGCTGTTTTATAGCTGGCTGTGCCCCTTTCCCCCTGCAGCCTCCTCCCTGCCTTCACATGCACAGTGAGAGGGGCTCTCCTCACCCCTGCTTCCCCTGGCATGGCATGTTTGTGCTTTCCTCCTTCACACTCCCCTGTGCCAGAGCCATCCTTCTCCATTATATCCCCTTCTTGTTGGGATATAACCTGGCATTTTGAAACTGGTGAGACACTGCATCACTCCTTTGAGCAGAGGAAGAGGCAAATCTGTGCATGAAGCCTTGAAAACCTCACCATTCACATCAGAAGGGCTCAGATGGTGTCTTAAAACCTACAGCTGTGGGCAAGCAGGCAGCCCTGTGGCCTCTCCTGCCTGGCAGCCTCAGCTGGGTGCTCCAGGAAGGTGTGGGGATGTTTTCCTTTCCTTTTAGAGGCTGTGGCTTTTGAAGATGGGCAGCCAGTGGTGCTGGAGGATGGCAGCATGGCCTTCATACACAGCACAGCCAAAGGTAAAGCACTCCCTGCTCTTTCCTTGGCAGCTGGAGAGAAGCTGCTGGAATGTCTCAGATTTCCAGGGCTGGGGAGGTGAAGCACTTTTTTCCTGCCTCGCACTGAGCTTTTTTTCAGCTGAATCTTTTTCAGCCCTTTACCTGAACGTTTCCTCTTGCAGAGAGTTACGAGCCTGGCACATTGCAGGCTGTCCAGCTGGAGGATGGCTCCACTGCCTACATCCACCACCCTGTCATCGTGGCACCTGGCAGCACCATCCTGCAAGTGCAGACAGAAACTGGGCTCCAGGGGTTGCCTGGGAAGGAGGAGGAAGATGATGGCCTCGATGTGGACACCATTAATGCATTGCAGCAGTATGGCAGGAAGGTGAGGGCACAGCAGCATCTCCTGGCCTGAGTTTGTGCCCTCCCTGTTTGAGAGAAGTCCCTGGACAGGGTCCAGTGCTGAGGGGTGCCTGGCAGCTGGGGACCCAGAATGGGGCTGTTTGGTCCTGTGGGGTGCTGGGCCTGCCACCCTTAACCTGCTGCAGGCTGAGGTTTGGGAAGGGAGGAGAGCTGCTGTGACACAGCCTTTGGTGTGCCAGAGCCATGGCCACTGTCCCCATGGTGACCTCCAAACCAAAGCAGCTTCAGATCCTGCTGTGCTGTCACTGCAGTGTCCCACCCCAGTGTCCCAGGCAGTGCCTTTTTGTCCCATCTCCATGGGCTGTGGAGCAGGGGCTGCCAGGAGGGCGCTGCAGTGCTGAGCTGGGCACAGACCTTCCTGCTGTGGCAGGCCCAGCCCCTGCTCGCTGGGGAAGGGTGGGGTGGCACTGTGGCTGTCACTGCCTTCCTGCTGCACAGGGACACACAAACAGGGCCTGTGCTTCTTCACTCACAGGGCTCTGACGAGGAGGAGGAGGGAGTGACAGACATCTGCCATGTGAAGAGTAAAGACTCCAGCAACATCTCTTCCCAGGTCTGAATTTTTCAATGACTGGAACTCCTCTTTGCCACTAAT